ACATCCTGGGGAGTAGCAACTGAGGTCTTAAAAGTCCATGAGCAGCCATCTAAGGTACAATTATTGGTCTCTTCCTGTTTGGAGGAAAACTGAGTAAAGAAAATCGCAGAGTTATGGAAATAATCATGGTCAGGCTCCATAACCCTGAGACCAGAAGAACTAACTGGTACCTGATTACCACTACCTACTGCTCTGAAAGGGATCCCATGAGCAGATCCTGAACAGAGTGGGGAGAACATGAGAAACAAAACTCAAAATCAGCGAAGACCACACACTGGTTGGATAGAGCCTGGTGGAACCCACAAGACTATAGCTGTCCGTCACTCTTCAAGTCTGGAAATGAAATGACCCCATTGCTCAATTTTCAGTCCAACAATAGACAGGTCTATAATGAGAATAATAATAGTAGTACAGTACACACACCTTACAATAACCAACCATTTAAGATCACAAAGGCAGCATTTTCCCCCAGGACAAAGCTGAGAAGGGTTGGGAAAGGAGGAGGAATGGAAACAGGAGCCGCAGGGAGGAAGTGGAATGAGAGATGCTACACTGCAGGGTCACAGTCAATGGCTGAAACGAAATGGGTGTGAATTGTTGAATGGGAAACTGATCTGCTCTGTAAACCTTCACCTGACTTACAAGAATTTTTTTTTTTTACTTTTTTTAAAAGACAGAGTAGAACTGCCTCTTAGGGTTTATTTCCAAGGCTGTAACCTTGAGGAAAACAAGACTGCCACATCGTTTTCCCATGGAGCAGTTGGTGGGTTTGAGGCGCTAACCTTCCATTTCATAGCTGGATGCTTTAACCACTGTGCCACCAGGGCTCCTTAAATCATCTCCCAGAGTTCCATCAAAACTTTACAATGGATCCAAGTAAATGATGAAAGAAATTCTCTGATGAAGGAACTACTTGTTAAGAAAAATATCTTAAAGATATCTTTATATCACTTATATTGTTTTCATTTTTCCCAAGTAATCTAATGTCAAAAAACAAAAATAAAACACAATAGCTTATTTAAATCTATCTGTAGTTGATCTAAGTACATGTGTTTTATTTATCTTTTTCCTGTCTGCTTATCTTCAAACACAGAGCTGTTTTCTGACATGACTTTCATGCACAAGGTCTTCCTTGGGATTTAAATGTCAAAGCACAGATACATTCCACACCAAAAGCAAATCTAGCTTTCTTTTGTCCTAATAAAGACAGTACATCAAAGAAGAAACATGCTGCCTTTGAATCTTTAAGTGGGTAATCCAACTATTCCTTTTCCTTTTCTTCTTAGAAGAGTTATACTCTGGCATTTCACTACTTAAAAAAATAAAGTTTTGATTTGTTTTGTTTTGTCAGTATAGTGGGTTTTTTTGTTTGTTTGTTTGTTTTTTTACTTAAAATTACGATCGCTTTGGAGTAACTATAGGGAATTCATTGACCTACCTGGTCCACCTGGGTGTGTGGTACTTTGTGGTACTCATAGTTCAGATGATTGGCAGTAAACAGGAAACTCCTCTTAGATCCCTTCAACAGAACCCAACTGGCTGTGGCATTGGAGTTCAAAGATCAAAGGGGACCCTTGGGTTCACACAGGATCCAAGAAGGTTGATATGCAGTGCAATGCGTCTAGCCCTTAGAAACATGGCAGATAGGACAAGAGGAGATAGGGCTTCCCAGAAAGACCACGTCAAGAAAGAACACGGCCATGTGCAAAATCTGACCAAAGAGAACCAAGGTGGAGAATGGACTGAGAAAAGGCAGACTGGCCAATGGACAGGCCCAAAGAGTTACATGTGACAGGCCTCACAAGGGTAGCTTTTCTATTGTGTGGCCAGTCTTTCTCTACTTGTTTAAGTTGAGCTGGTGATGAGATGCTGATATCTGTCCAATCCTGTGACACTGATGAGTGCTCCACAGAAGAGACAGCAGCTGTAAGCATGAAGGACCCGCCCTCTTTGGTCCCAGTTCTCGGAGGGTTCCTGACAGCCAGGCAGTTCTTGGAGCCACCAGGGAGCAGCGCTGAGTTGGTAGAGAGTCAGGAAATGAGTCTTTAGGGTGATAAACAGCATGTTTCCTGAGGTAAAGAAGTACAGGAAAGGAGTTTCGCATCAGTCTCACTGCCAACATGGACGACCCAAAGAAGGAACAGCTGGGAAGCATGGGGAAAGGACAGTCAGGTCCACAGAGGTTGCTCCTGTCAGTAGTCTCCAGGTGATAAAGGAAGTCCATCTGCATACATGCTGTCATGGAGAAATCCTCATGTTTCTGGGTCAGATTTCCCTAAAACACTTACAATGCTCCTGAGATGTTTGAAGTCAAAGTTGTGCTCATTCGTTTTTCATCCGACTGTTCTAATTTTGAGACTGTCCCCCCCACACACAGACCAATGACATTTGTCACAAGGATCCAGGGCTAGGAGAGCTCCCCCTTGGCTGAGAAGAAATGGGCAGACCTGCAAATTCCATTTTCGTTCAATAGTCTCAAGCAAGACAAAGACAGACTAGGTGCGTAGGGCGAATGAAGATCACATAGAAATTTAAGAGTGATACTCGCTGTCTTCATCTGTGCCCAGCCAGCTGCCAGGGAGTCCACTCGGAATCCTGGACACCTCATGCCATGTGCATCAGAGCAGACTTCTGTACAGGGTTTTCAGTGACTCCTTTCTTGGAAGTAGAATGCCAGGATTTTCTTCCAAGGCACCTCTGGGTGAATTCAAACCACAGACCTTCCAGTTAGCGGCTGAGCACATTAGCAGCACTCAGATCACCACCTGACTTAGGACCAGAAAACGTCAACATGATTTTACAGACATGTGCCTTCCGTCTTCTTAGTGTTGTTTGAATTCCTTTGGAGTCAAATTCTCTCAGAGTTCCCAAACCACTCAGCCCCTGTGTAGAGTGACTGGCAGGTTTGAACCGCTGACTTTGTAAAGAACTAAGAGTACCCCAGAAGCTGTTGTTAGGTGCCATCAAATCGGCACCAACTCATGGCAACCCTATGCACAAAGAACGAAACACTCTCTGGTCCTGAGCCAACCTCACGACCATTGTGATGCTTGAGCCCATCGTTGCTGCCACCGTGCCAATCCATCTCGCTGGGGATCGTCTTCTTTTTCATTGACCCTCCACTTTACCAACCATGAAGTCCTTCTCCAGGGATTGTCCATCCTGATAATATGTCCTAAGTAGGAGAGACCAAGTGTAGCTTTGTGACTTGTAGGGAGCATTCTGACTGGACTTCTTCCAAAAAAGATTTGTTTGCTTCTTTTCATGGATTGTGGTACTTTGAATATTCTCCTCCAACACCGTAACTCAAATTCATCGATTCTTCTATGGTCTTCCTTATTCACTGTCCAGCTTTCACAAGCATATGAGGTTATTGAAAATACCATGACTTGGGTCCAGCACACCTTAGTCCTCAAGCTGACATCTTTGATCTTGAACACTTTAAAGAGGTCTTGAGCAGCAGATTGTCCCAGTGCACTACGTCATTGGATTTTCTGACTGGAGCTTCTAAGAGTGTCCCACCAGGACTTCACACTATATACTGAGATGAATATTTAACTAGCTGATGTCAGATGTGAACTGTACCTAACTGTTATGATTTATGTATGAATTCATCTTGGAGACAGACTTAGTGACAGACTACAAAGCATGTGACATTTGCATGACATCCTTATCACACACTAGCCGATTTTATAGGACATTTGTGGAATTAAGTGACACATGACTGTAGGGTGGTTGCTGGTGGCTGTCTGCTACTGAGTTGGTTCTGACTCACAGTGACCCAATACAGGGCTTCTGAGACTGTAAGTCTTTATGAGAGCAGAAAGTTTTCTCTCTCTCCTGAAAAGTGACTGGTAGATTCGAACTGCTGACCTTGAGGTTAGCAGCCCGGTTTGTAACCCGCTAGCTCCTTATACATGGCTGTAGAGGGGAGCTGATGATTTCACGAGTCCGGAAGATTCCTCAGGTGTCTCACAGGATCACCCCAGAATCCTCTTCAGTGAAGCAAGACTGTCATAGACTTAAGGCCTCCTCCCCATTGGGAGCATACAGAGGTAGGATCAAGATCTTATCTCAGAACATAAAAAGACTTCAATGAACTTTTATCTTCCAAGATACATGTTGTTGTTGTTGTTGTTAGGTGCCAACAAGTCGCTTTGACTCATAGTGACCTTATGTACAATAGAACTAAGCCTTGCCTGGCTCTGCTCCATCCTAACAATCCTTACTATGCTTGAGCTCATCCCAAGATACTAAATTAGTAGAATTAGATCTCCCACAAGATTTTAACATAGTTCAGAAAATCATCTCACTCTACGCAGATATGAGCAACTCATAGTCAGCTTAGCCTGTTTACAGGCAAAAGTTCTCAGATTGAGATTGATTTTTACTTTAGAGTAAAAGGCACATTTCAGAAGTAGGTACGATAGGATGCTCTGATACACCCTCATATAAAAGTGGCCTCTTTCCACAAGGGAGACATCAACCATTGTATAAAAATAGTACCTACCCAGATTTGTAAAAACCAGTCCAACTTGGCATTATTTCCAAACATACATTTTCTCTTCAGACTCAGTAACTTTAAGTGCTCTGCTTCCACGTGCCCCACTGGCCCCCCGATATCTGTCCATGTTTCCCCCCTTAGGAGGGGCTTTGAAAAAACCCAATCCACCGAGTCTTACTCTCTCCTGAGGCGCGAAGGAAGGGTCACCTTGCTCGCGGACAGAGAAGTCTAGACTGAAGTCAGCTGAGAGTCCCTCTAGCTCAGCTGTCTCAGGCAGGGCTACTGGCCTGCCCTCGCTGAGGGACTGATGGACTAAGGAGACCCAGGACTGTCACAGTAAGTCCATCCATCCTGATACACAGCACGCAGGCCTCACACATACAGAGAGATGCCATATGTGTCCCACCGTCCCTCCCCTGTCTGGTGTTACTCTGGCCCCGACACAAACAAACCATCGGCATGCATGGACGGTGTGTGCTTGGTGGCAGGTACCTACCGATCTATGATGGCACACATGTCGATGCTGACGTTAGCGAAGCTGCCTGGCTTCCTCTGGGCCACTTCGTACAGATTCACCAGCTGGTCGTCCACCTGAATGAGCTGCATGCAGCCCTGGAAGGATGGCTGCAGCAGGGAGAGCCCCGAGTTTGCCACTTGGTTCAGGACACCTGTGGGGCACAAGGAAGGAGAGGTTAAATTCAGGGTGGGGTGTTCCAACTGACCTCAACACTGGGCTCACACCACCACGCTCTATAATGTTCACCTTGCCAGGGAAGAAGGAAGACTTCTGAGGAAGTACGTTTGTTTCAGGGACGAAGTCAGGGTTGCATTGGGCTTCCCCATATTTTCACCTCTGACATATTTCTCCCTCTGCCCCTTAAAGCAGAGGACGTAAAACTTCAGCCCTTTCTTAACTGTCTCACCTCAGTAGCTTCTGCTTGGAAACACTACATACAGGGTCGCTACGAATCTTTAACGGATTCTAAACCAGCTATGTGAACACAGTCCACAGTGGATCAGATACAATGTCATAAAGCAAGACTCCATGAGTCATTCAG